GGGGAGAATCTGCTGGGTTTACTTGCTGAGGCGTGGAGCACATGGGGGAATCTGCTGGGTGTGGCAAAGCCTGCACAGCAGGTGCAGCTCCTGCCAAAAGGAGTCTTGTATGACTGTCCTGGCCATAGAACTCTACTTTCTATTCAAATTGGTGTTTCATTTTAGCCTTGACATGATGAATCACTTTAAAGGCACCTTCACAGGCCAACTGCCGTGGGACAGTTGAAGCAAATGCTGCCTTAAGTGTTGGTGCTGGGCTGATAGTTGCCAAGAGACACTTTCTCTAGAACAAGACAACCTGGCTAAACTGCCTGCCACCCTTTCCTCAGCTTTGGAATAGGGTAAAACATTCAGATGTTTCCCTTGCCAAGCCTCACAGAAGAAACAGGCTGCATTGCTGGATATTCTGCAACTTGACAGCCCACAACATGTTTTCCCTGCATTTGTTTTTTCCCAAAGGTCTGCAGATTTGGGGACAACCGGGTGGAAAGAGCCTCAATCCTGCTGCAGCTCTGTGTAGTGGGTGCCCTCTGATGGGTCAGAATTGTCCTTCATTTCTAAATAATTCATATGTAATCTATTTCTTTAATCTTTCTCAGAGTAAATACTGTGAAAGAAATGGCGTATCAGATGGTGCAGGGAGACTGAATTCCTCCCTCTTCCTTGCAGGCAGTCCTTCTGTACAATGCTAACGTTGTGTTTACCTGAGGACAGAACCTTCTACAGGTGTCTCAAGTTGCAGGGAGAAGCCAGGCCTCCTTCCCCCAGCAAGGACAGGGAGCAGGCTCTGGCCAAGGCCTGTGCTGCTCTTGCTCCTTCTCCCTGTGCCCAGGGTTTGCTCTCTTCTTCCCAGGAGCCGCCATGCCCAGGTGCGGAAGTGCTCGGCCAAACTCCTCCTGTCCTTGGTGGAGAGAATTGGAGTCACGAAGCTGGCAGGCACAGCCAGGGCTGAGAGGCTGGCACACGTGGCAGGGAAGCTTGCTCAGGACTGTCACCAGGACACAAGGTAATGATCTTCATTTCACCTCCTGAAAGAGGAAAATCTTTTTGTGTCTGGCTATAAAGGTAAAACCACAAAAGAGTGGGAACTAAAGGAAATAGAAGTTGCCACACTGTGTGAATAAGGGTCAGAGCATCATGGAATATGCTGAGTTGGAAGGGACCCATCAGGGTCATCAAGTCCATCTCCTGGCTACGTGCAGGACACTCCAAGAGTCACTCCATGTGCTTGAGATCATTGTGCAAACGCTTCTTGAGTTCGGTGAGCCTTGGTGCTGTGCCCACTGCTCTGGGCTGCCTGGGAAATGACTGTAGTGGGTAACCTGAGGTTGGCCAGCAAAAAGGAGCATTGCCAACTTCCTGTGGCTTGAAGGATTCTTTACTGAGATCCAAAGAGCTCAGAGTAGCCAGTCCAACAGTTTTGTTTGGCCTTAGGTGCACAACACAAAGCCAAAGTGTTGACTAATGGTCATCACTGAAGGATCCCAAACATCTGTTTCTCATTAACTTAAGACTTTCCTAGAAATATTTCAGAGGTCTTTAGCCAACATATTCAGTCATTCTAAACCTGTTCTGCAGATTTCTACAATGCTGTTATCTGTGGCTCAGTGACCTCCAGATTTCTTTTGCAAGAAAATTGTGGTTTCCTAGTGACAAAATCAACCCAAACCACCAAAATCCTCTTACTTGGATGGTGAAATTCCCATTAATAGCTGCCAAGAACACCAGAGCAACTAGCTGTCCCTGTGCATACATATAGCATAGAATAATCAATAGGATGCATGAGGTGTTTTGTCCTGGCTTCCCTCCCAGTTAAAGAAGGGCAAATTATTGTGCAATGGCAGCAGGACACTGCTAATAGGCTCTGACAACACAGCAGATGTGTTTTGCTTGTTCCCTGGGATCTTTGATCCCACAGAAGCACACCCACAGTTTCAGAGGGAAATGGTATTTTTCTGTTGCCCCACCTTCTCTTGCCTCTTGTGCTCAGCTGACAGCACTGTGCAGTGTCAAGAGGAAGTACATCTCCCTCTTTGCTGAGTAGGTAATGCCTTCTCATGCAAGGATTGCACCTGTTGAGTTTAAGGTATCAGCCTCTACTGTTAACATTCTTCCTTTGTTTATTCACTTTTCCTTTGTGTCCTCCCTTCCTCCCTCCCTTCCTTCTGTCATTCCTTTCATCCTTCCTTAGGCATTATGGACAGGAGATGGTGAAGCTGTTGCTCAATCATCAAAAATTTCAAAGGCTTTTGGAACAATTTCTTTCCACCTATGATCTGGAAGATATTCTGACAAGAATTAAGAAGAAAGTAAGTGCTTGGCAGGGGAAATGTCTCCTTTGTGCAAGTATTGCCACTGCTAATATGAGATCAAACACAGCCAATCTGTCTTTATGTCATTCCTCTTGTGCTGAATCATTTTGCTCCAGGCAATGAGCTGTTAATCCTCAGCCTGTTCATCTGCAGACCACAAAGGAACTGATATAATTGGGGAAAAAGTGGGGTTTTGAATATTTTAAATATCGGTCACAAAGAGGAAAAGGAAAGAGGAGAAAATGGATTTATATTTAAGCGTAAGCCCCCTGCTGCAGTCTCCCTACTCTGCCCCCAGGAAAGCAATTAAGTGAGAATAGTGCTTCTGAAGATAACAGAGTCTCTGCAAAAGACACCCGAAGTAGTAGTACCAAGAAAATTTCCAAATCTACAAAAGATGTCCAAGTTAATCCTGGTTACTACAATTACTGTCTGTCTTTTGGGAATACTGCCCTGCTGTCAAGCCCTGTGGAACTGGAAGAAGCTTGGTGAATTCAGCAGCATCCAGTGGGAAATCCTTTGTTTGTTAAGGGGAGGATTTTATTTCTTTTAGTGACATTATAGAAGGGAGCGTGCCTTTGTGCAGGCCCAGGGAGAGTGAGTGTTGAACCAAACTGACTTCCAACCCAGTGGGCCAGCCCCCAAAGAGTCCAATTTTTTCTGTTGCTTCCTTTAAGAAAACCCATTGCCTACCTGTTGCATTATTTCCATTTATGCTCAAGACTAATGAATTTGGGATTTTAGACTTCTGCTCAGTCTGGTAGCGCACATCACCTGCCTCGGGCTATTGAAAACAAAGAGTTGATATCACTGAATCTCTGGTCTGTTTCCATCTGTAAGTTAGGATATGTTTCCCTAAGCCTTGGTAGCAGTGATCCTGGTTCCAACTTGTGTTTTAAACAGGGAATCTCCAATTTTATATTCTAAAGATTGACGGGGTTTCTCTGCATCTTTGTAGGGGATGGAAAACCAGAGGGGTGAATGCCCATGTGTCAAGGAGCCGGTGAAGAAGAGGAACAATGGCTCGAAGAAGCCCCAGGCCACATTGTCTTCTGCTAAACGGTACTGAGCACTTCTGTTAGATGTGACAAAGAACATGACAAGCTTTACATGTCTCTTCCTCAGGAAAATCTTTCTGGCAGAGTGACTAGTTCCACAGATTGTTTCCTTTCCCTACAAATGGTCTATGCTAAAAAATGTCTACCTCTGCATTATGCTGAACACAATTTCAAAATTCAAACAGGGTTTTTTTTTAATCTGAGTGGAGTCTTTTTGGGTGTTTTGATGAGAAGGCCCAGTCTAGAAGCAAGATGCCATTCCACAAAGATGCAGTTCTCATCCATGTGGTTTGGCCTGGCTGAATCATGGCTTTCTTACACTAAAACAGTATCAAGTTTGAGTAGTAAGTAGCAAGGCAATTCCTGAGCAACTTTGGTCAACAGGTGTCTCAATGTGGACTTTTTGTTTTGATATTCTTGTCCTTCATATAATTTGTTTGATGGACAGCATGTTTTGTTTTTTCATCTTGTGCAATCAGCATTCAAGACAGGAATTTGGTCCTTGCTGTCTCTTCTTGGCAGTTGCAGAGCTACTTGTACCTGTTCTCTGATAACAGAGGGGATTTATTTAGCTCTGTCATGCTCAGCGGTGACAGGAAAGTGACCACATGCCTTAGTGGCATAGCTAGCATCTTCCCATGCTCATGGAAGAGACAGGTTGATCCAGGAGAATTGTTCCCAGTGGGGTTGTTAAGCTGTGGATCTAGTCTCTAGGGAAGCAAATGAAATGTGAGCGCAGTTCTGGGATGTCTGGCTTCTGTTTTTATCTCTGTTACTGATTTTCTGAATCATTCAAATATGGCCCTGTTCATCTGTTCAGATGCGTCTGAGCTATTTTTTCCAGATTGTTGTGCCAGGTTGTAGAGACACTTCTCCAGAGTGATGAGTTTTCCTTATTATAAGACACACACGTCCCATATGAGGAGGCATTTGAACTTGGAAGTAGCATCTCTCTTTCTCCACAAAGCAATGTGACCTGTGTGCCTTGGAAGCCATCTGAAGATAGATCAGATGCATCTCATCCTTGGTTTTCCTGAGTGAGGACTGGCGAGAATGTTACTTGCATATTGTCTCCCGTAGTGATTGGCATGAGGCCCATATTGTTCGTCAGAGCCTCATGATTTTCTAGCTTGAAATCACATAATTAGGAAAGCTCCTCAAGATGTTTTGCTCACAATTAACTGAAGGTGTTATCACCAACAGGTTCCTAATTTGGTTTTATTTGCCAGGGTGAAATCTACCTCTGATGGACGCCTCCTACACGGTGCAAAAGCCCAGGTGACGTTGCCTCCAGCTGTGGAAGAAACGGAGCTGCTCCAGAGGCTTTACAATCTCCTGAAAGCCAAGGGCTTTCAGACACGGATGGAAGGAGTGGCACTCCTCCAAGACCTGTGCAAAAGCAGCCCCCAGCTCATCTCCACTAACATTGTCCAGGTATGGAGGGCATCTTCATTGTTCCTTTCCTTTAGCTCCTTTCCTAAGCCTGTAGCAGTAAAGTTAATTCAGTGTGTCTTGACACTCCATTCTGGCTGTTTGGGACACGCTGGTCCCTCTTACTCAGGCAAATTTAATTCAGGTCCAGGCTTCAGGACAAGTTATTTCAGTCCAGCTGTATTTGTCTGGCAGATGCCTGTTGATGCTGTTCATCACCAGATGATGACACAATTTTCTGCTGGTCTAACTGCTGCTCTCTCGTATTCCCAGTTGGGTTAAGTGCAGGGAATGCAGCCACTGAAAGCATGACAATTATTCTCTAGACCAAAAATGGATTTGCATAGGAAGAGAAGTATCAGGCTAGGTTGGTTTAAACCCATTTTTTAAAAAAGAATACTTCTATATAGTCCATCTTGTCTTGTACAGGCACAACTCTGGCTACTCATTTCCATCCTTGTTCCTATTCCTCTTGGTAAAGACAGTGCTCACCCTTCTTTGGAGAAGGAGGAAAACAGCTAAGGACACATCTCTGCCTTCTCCTCCCAGTAGCTGCTTTTCCCCCTTTTCCAGGAAAAGGTGCCTGATAATGGGGCTGTCAAGGGACTGAACCTGCTCTAATGAGAGCTGTAGAGCAGATTGAATTTCAGAAGTCTACCTGTTACTTAGAGAGATGGTCTGGATCCTGGAAGAGTTGATCAGAGCCCTGCACTTCTCCAGACCCTGGTTCTGAGACAAACAAAAGAAAACTTAGATCTCCTCCAGCCATAGTTTTGGCAAAATCATCATTGCCCTCAGTACTTGAGGAAACTGTGTAGAAAACCAGACATTGTAAACATCTGCTTCCATACTTCTAAAGCAAACGTAGTCTTTTGCATTAATAAATGGAATTGATTTAATGATTTATAGATGGAGAGAAATACCATAGGAACGATTCTGTCCCCAACCAAACCTCTTAAAAACAGAAGAAAATCTTTCAACCAGCATGAGGTTGCGCCACCATTCCAGTGAGTGGCCCGCAGGAAAACAGTGACATTGTGCAAACAAGTGCTGACCTGACAGAAAGGATCACTTTCATCTTTTACATTGCTAACTGCTACATCCACTCTTCAAACAAGGGCATTTTAATCCAGCTTTCATGTTGTTTGTTCTCTTCACAGATTTTTGATTATTTTGTCCTGAGAATATCTGACAGCCACAAAAAAGTGAAGCAGAAGGCGCTGGACGTGCTGGCTGAAATCACAGGGATCCTGAAAGATGCCTTGAACCCGGTGATCATTGGTTTGGTGGAAGGAATAACAAAGAGCCTGAACTCAAAGGATCCCAGGGTTCGTGCCGCAGTTGTGAAAGCACTGGACGAATCCATTGCTCATTTAGGTAAGGCTGAGCCCCGGCATGGACTCTCCTCAACTGCATCTCTGTCTCTCCGACACAAGAGAATGCTGAGTGCCTTGATAGCTGCTGTTGACTGTGGAACGCTCCAGCTGACACCCACCAGAAGCTCTGGAGGTGCAGCCCTTATGCACCAGTCTCCCAACAGACTTGAATGTGATCAGCATTTCCCAAAAGTCCCAGGAGCCCTTGGCTCTGTGCTGTTTGTCTGAAGAGCGAGTCCCGGACTACAGCTTTGCTACAATTCAGAGGCAAAAGGGGTTTTTGAGTTTGCTTGGGCCCCGTTTGACTTCCCAAATGAATAGCTTTGCTGTTGGCATGAAGGGACACTGACCCATCAGAGCTTCTGCAGAGCAGCCACCTGGAAGGCTCTGCATTGTAGGCATTAGCTGCCTATTTTCCACTTTTCTTCTTTGTCTTCTATTTCAGAGGGGAACTTAAGATTCACCAAGTTCATTTCTTTATAACAAAGAGGTGTAAACCCAGCCTTGTTCCACATGTTGTTTTGCATGGAGCAAGACGGCTAGAGTGAATAACTATATAGGCAAGGGCTGCTCTAAATTCCTTTGCCATGCAGATTTATGTCAGCTCTGAAAATGATGCACTGGGGAAATATGCCTGGAAAAAAAAGTGTTGAAGAGGCAGCTCTTGAAAGGGAGTTTCTACTTTCTCTTCCTCAGCTGCTCTGTGAACTCAGGAACTGCCTGACTCAGTGCCTTTCTGTGTCCCAAGGATGGGGTTCTTCCTTTTTGCTCTGGGATGCAAAACCTTTTCACTGCTTACATGTGACTGAACTCTTGAGGTCCCTGATGAGAAATGTTTGAACATAGCTCCTGGTACAGCAGACAAGTTTGAATTTACAAATGTGAAAGGAGAGCTTTTCTTTTGGAATTTAAAGCCCTGCCAAGTAGGCTGGAAGGAAAGAAGAAAAGGATTCAAAAGTCAGCAGAAATGTACTTTAGTTTATAAAATGGGGTTGCCCCTGCCCTTTCCCTCCCCACTGTCCTTCCTGCTATGACCTCAGAAGAGTGAGCAGAACCATGTGTTTCACTTGTAGATAAAGTATCCCTGCTGAAAGAGTTCAGCTACCAATGGAGCCAACTGAGTGGCCAAGCTCTGCTGGATGTCGCGGAGCGTATCACAGGTACGGCCTCCCCTTGGAAGCCAAGAGGTCTTCCCAGGGAGCATTTACAGGGAATGCCTGGGATCAGAGAGCAGAGTAGCTCCTCCACATCAGGAGGTGCTGAGCTTGTCGCTCCTGCCCAATGCCCAGGGCAGGTGTCTCTGGCAGGTTTTCCCTGGCTGCTGCAGAGCTGTGCAGCATCTGAGATGGGGGCGGCGCTGGGCCTGGGGGCTGAGCTCTCACTGGGGCAGCTCAGAACCACCTCCAGGATAGGAAGGGGCTAAAAATACCCCAGCTGGCTCCTCTCCTGGAAGCTCAGGGACATCTGTGATCTTTCAGGGAAAACCGTGTCAAATGCTGTTTCAGGGGATCAGTATGTTTTGTCCTCACAGAATTCTTGTTTTTCTCTTGGAAAGTTTTGAGGCTGAACCGGGCAGAGCCCGGGGGTCACAGCTTAGGTCAAAAGTCAACAGACATATTAGAGGCATGGATTTAGTGCAAGGCAGCCTTTGGGGGCACAGGGGCAGAGGCAAAGTGCTGAGGCTCCCTGGCTGTGCTGTCCAAGTGGCACTGGACTGAGCATTTCAGGCTGTGCAAACAGGGTCTTCCTGTGTCAGAACTGTCCAAAATGCTACAAAGGCAGCTGAAAATTGATTCCTCAGAGGAGCTTGCTATGCCAGCAATAGGCAAAGAATGGAAAAACGATAATCTCAATATAGAGAAGACGATTGATAGCCTTGCTTTAGCTGGGTTAATGGCACTGCTAATTATGCCAACATCTTTAAACGCAAGGTTTAATACACTTTGTGTCTTCATTAGGAATCTCAAAAGGGCATGTGCAGTGATTGGGAATGTCAAAGGCCCTTTAAAGAGCATTTGAATAAAGTAGATCTCCAGCAATAGGGAATTTAGTTTGGCAGTTATTTTGATCTCCTTTTCAAATTAAGGAGTTAACCATAAATCAGGACTAGTTTAGAAAAAGCAGATGTTCTCTCTGAGATTTAGTAGGAACAGACAGCTGTTCCTCACCTTCAGTACTCACTGATGTCTTCAATTACATTTAAACTCAAATGAATTCCCATTTTAAAGTGGGTACCATCACCCTTTTCCTGCTTAGTAGAATTGGGTTTGGGTACTTTCAGGAGCTGTTTCAATGTTGATGACTGCTGGTGGATTAACAGTATAGAGAAAATGAAGTCTCTTCCACCAGAGAATAAGAAATGGCTACTAGATAACATTTTGCCTGATCAGAAAATAAGAATGGTCTCCAGAGCATATCAGGTTTTGATCTCTCAGCCCAATCTGCCATGCAAGGAGCCTGTTGGTAGTAAATTTTTGTCTGTGTTTGATATAGTTGAGTTTAGAAAATGAGCAGAGAGCAGATTTCAGAGACAATATGAGAAAACACTTGTGGTTTTGTTACATTTCAGTCCCCTGTGTAGCGTTTTTCTCTCTCTGTGTCCCTATTTCAGTGTGCATTTTTAAGAAAAAATGCCATTAACATTGGGAGGGGAAATGGCATTAAAATGTCATTTTAAAATGTGGAGATGCTGAAATGCCCCGTCGGTGGGGTCTGGGTAATTATCTAAGACACCCTGAGGTTTGAAAAAGGTCTTTGTTGGAAGCCACAAAAGCATTCTGCCAAAGACGTTTCTAATCCAACCGTCAAGCAGCAGCCATCTCTGGTGGGCTGGAGCTTTGAAGTGTGTTCTAATACTGCCCTTTGCTGTGTGCCACTGAGCAAAGGGAAGAGCCAGATCTGGCACTTGACATCAAAGTTACAATAATGGAATCATCCCTTTTATTAGAAATCTCTCCATTTCCTCTCTACGGTGCATTTCCAAATCTTCAGTGTGGGTTTAGACAACTTCTTAATGGAAATAAAAGGCAGTTTGGCATTTCATTCATTGTTCATGCAGAAAGAGATTGTGAAATAATGTAGTAAAGGTACGAAGTCTGCCACAGGGACAAGGCTCTGGTTGGAGAAATTAGTCCTGAGGGGTTGGTGGTTCTGTTTCAAGGATGATCAGCTGCTTTGCCCATTTCTGGATCACGGGGCTCTGTGTGCTATTTTGCTGATCTTAGCCAGGGAGGCTTCCAAGAAGCAAAAGCAGAGGTAGATCCTTGTTTGCATTGAGGCTGGTGGGTAAGAAGCTGTGCCTCTCTCCCGGCAGTGCTTGTGGAGTGGGTTTATGCCAGGAGCCCTGAAGTCGTCGAGCAAGACGCCCTGCCCGTTCTCTGGTCCTTCCTGGAGAACAAGGCGCTGCCTGTCCGAAGCGCCAACGTCCGCACGGTGGCCACCGAGCTTGCCCTGGCCCTCTACGAGGTGATGGGCACCAAACTGAAGAAGTGTGCTGCCAGCAAGCCTCCACACGTGCAGGAAAACCTGTCCAAAATTTTGGGCTGGTGAAGGTGAGATGTTCTCCAGAGAGATGACCAAGTGCTGAGTTGGACACCTCCAGATTTGCCTTTTTAGCTGTGCCAAAAATGACAACATACTAAGGAAGGGTGTGCATCTGCCCCCGCTCTCTCCATCGCCCATCCTAGTCATGGGGCCTGAAACAACTCCAGACTGAGGACAAGGGGGAGGCTGAGCATGGCTCAGCCTCACACAGAGGTGAGGGGGGAGCTGGGCCGCTCTCTGGTGGGAGGAAGGGTCCTGTGGCAGCCCAGAGAGCCTGTGCACATTGCCAGGGAACAGCTGTGCCCTGCATGTGCCCCTGCAATGAGCTGTGCTCTGCCAGAGCCCCTGGAGCTGTAGGGCTGCTCAGCCGTGGGGCAGGGAGAGGAGCAGGAGGGTGCATGTGCAGCTGAGCCATTCCTGGGAAGCACAGGGCTCTGGGCTCCTGCTGTCCCAGGGCAGCCCAGAGGCCAGGCTGTTCCTGTGGCAGCCCTGTGCAAGTGGGTCAGGGCTTTCCCCTGGCCTGCCTCAAGTGTCTGCTGGCAGGAGCACGTTTCCCTGTGCAGCTGTTTAGAAATTGGCAGGAAATGTGTCCCATGAAATACAGAGCTCCAGATGCTTTAGGTTTGCATTGCAGCCTCTGTTAAACTTTGTGTCTCCATTTTGCAGATCTGACTGGTCACAGTCATACTGAGGAGTTTTCTCTGGACACTTCCAATGTTCTCTTACCCACAAAGTCCTTGTCTCCTGTCCAGAAGAAATCTCTTTCCTCCAAGCTCAGGAAGAAGCTGTTGCCTGCCTGAAGAGTGTTTAAAGAATAGGATTTATGCTTTAGTCTTCATAGCTACAGATGTACATATGTTCTGATCTTTAGATGTAGTTTTGAATAAATGTGTTTTGATTGTATCTTGAAATTTTGATTACATATTTTTAATTGTATATATTTTATTTTAATGACAAAAAAAAGCAAATAAATGAATAAAATTTAAATAAAGCAAGAGGAGAATGTGAGACCAGGACCTGCTAGCGTAGAGATTATGGGAGTGCAGCTCACTCAATGTGCCAGTGTCTCACCACATCCTTTCCTGTTGGAACTCAAAATGTCCCTCAGACATTTTTGGAGGTTCCAGGTCCAGGTCAGAAGCATTTGAGACCCTGGCAGGCAGCTGGAAACAGCTGTGATTTTGAGTTTGAGCCATGGAATGATTTACCAACTTTGCAGGTGGAACAAGAAGTCACAAAAGTTTAGATATTATAGTAGAAGTAGTTACAAAGTAGAGGGAAGAATTTTTGAGTGCTGTACAGGGGCGTTTTAACACCTGTACAGGGGTTTTTTAATTTTGCACATGGGGTTCAGAAGTTTTAAGATGGAGGAATGTAGGCCGGTCCTGTTTCTTCTCTTTCTTCTTCCTTACCTCCATGTTCTTGATGATGTTGGCACTCACAGATTGGTTTAGAGCAGAAAAGCACCATTTAATATAGGTAGTAGGTATTGGGGAAAAACTGTAAACATGTAACACGTAATGTATCATATAAAAGATAGCTGCAGCCCTGGGCGGGGGAGAAAAGAAGAACACACCAGGCAGAGAGGGTGTCAGGGGTGTGTGTGCCTCTGCCTGAGCTGCTGACCAAACCGCAGTAGCCAGAGAAGACAATCTTTTAAATAACTTACAATAAACTGCCTTGAGATGGAACAAGAGGCTGCAGAGTTTTCTTTGGAAGCACAGCTTGGAGGAGAGACTTTTCCACCACACGGAACCCCTGAACCAGGCGGGGTTCTGACACCTGGCATCCCTGGGTGGGCAAACAAAAAGGACAAGAAGCTGAAACATCAAACAACCTCCAACCTTCATCAGCAGAAAAAAAAAGCACACAAGCTCTCCGCAGACTCCAGGAAGAGAGGGAGCGGAAAGCTCAAGACAAAACAACCTGACCTTCACCAAGATAACTCATCTCGGGGACTCCCCAGAGAGGAGAAGACCCAAAAGCGCACCTGGGATCTCTCACATGTGACCTGCTGGACAGTGAACAGTGTCATCTCCGGACTGACCTCAGGCTGACTCAGCTTTTGGTGAGAAAGGTCAAAATTAAGAACATGGGTGGGGAATTCTCCCAAGAGGAAACCCAAATAGTATCTGCCCTACAGGGCATCATCTCTGCCCATGTGGTAGAGATCACTCAAAAGGAGCTGAAAGCTTTGTTATTGTGGGTGCAGTGTAATTTTCCGCACACAGACCCAAATCTGTTGTTTGAGCCAAATTTTTGGCAGGAAATTAATAAGCAACTATATCTTTAAGCTATAAAAAAAGATAAGCTTGCGGCAAAACTTTTACCTTCAGCGAGGACAGTTTTAGAGTCAGTTTCACAATGTGGCAGTTTAAAACAGGCAGCTAAGGCTCCTGGGGGAAAACGGGGGGGGACAGTCCAGCCAGCAGGTCGGGACAGCCCCTCTCACCACAGACACAGGGCAGGCAGGATTGCTTCCCGTGGAGAATCAGGGAGATGATACCCCCTCGCGTCCCGTGTCCCCGGGCTCCCACTGTTCCTCAGACTCCCGGAATCCCTAAGCTCCTCCGAAGCAAAAACTCCCCAGACGGAGACAAACAAGCCCGGCACAGCCGCGGCCCTCGGCGGGGGAAGGGCATTGCCCGAGTCCGAACCCGCGGTGGTGGAGCGGCGGCTCCGGCGGCGGCTCCGGCGGGGGATGGTGCGAACGTGAGTGCAGAGCAGAGGGAAGAGGGAGAGGAGAGCGCTCTCGGATCTGCGCAGGCGGAGAGTTCAAAACAGCCGCGCAGAAAGCGAAAGCGAGGAGAGCGGCGGGGCGGGACGGACCGGGGCGGGAGCGGGGGGTGCGAGCGCGGCGGTTTTACGTCCGCAGCGCCCGGGGACACGTTCGGTGTCGAGAATCCGTGAGGCCGCAGAGGCCGCCCAAAAGGCACGGGAGAGCAGCTCCCTGACCGCGGCAGCTGAGTCTGCCGGGGGAGCGGCACAGGGACAGCGGGACGCTGCCCTCGCTGCAGCTCTGGCGGCGGGCACGCGTGCGATGGTAGAGCAGATCCCGAAAGCCGTGAGGAGAGGGGATTTTTCGCATCTCGAATGCGCGGCACAGGCGCAGGCGGGGCTGAGCCGGCACACGCGGGCTGCGGGTGCTGGCACAGAGCCAGGAGAGGGGCAAAGCGAGGCAGAAACATCAGGGCCGGAATGGGATCAGGAGGGAGAGGACGTCAGTTTCGGGGGGGGACGACAGTGGCTCTGACTCAGAGGCAATGCGGGGTGGAGCAAGGCGAAAGCGCGGCCGGGGTCGGAGCAGAGGCGTCCACACCCCCGTGATGACTCAGGCAGGGACGGGCCGTGGCCAGGATGTAAACATCCCTCAGGGCACGGTCCCGTTGCAGTTCCCATGGACAAAGTCAGCCCAAGCTCACAGCCAATCCCTGTCAACTTCAGACATTAGCAGAATAGAACAGTTATTACAACAAGAGTCAGTTTCACAGACCGCAGGGATTGCAAACGTGAATCAATTGTTGGGAGAAATGCTCAAAAGTTTATCAGGAATTAACGCGGGGTTTGCAAATGTGAATCGATTGTCAGAAATTGATGCTCAAATGTTTATCGGAAGCACAAATTGAGGAGCAAAGTGCAGTCCCGGCCTCAGTTGGTCAGGCGGCAGCGCCATCTAGTGGCGGAACCACAACATTGCAACAGGTTTTACAGGACTCGGCCAGCCAAGTCACTGCGCCACCCAGTGGTGGGACTGTAACAGTGCAGCACTTTTGTCCAGTTTCTTGTAAGAAAAAATCCAGGGTGAAAAAAGCTGCATCTGCACGACAGCAGGAACCTCCGCTGACCCCAGAAGAGTGCGGGACTCAGGACACTTCTTCTGAGGCACAACACCAGGATGATACAATACACATCACTGCTTCGGAGGGTGTCCCAGCTTGGACAATTCCAACATCAATGTCTGCCAAAATTTCGGTGCAGGGAGAATCAATTTGTATATCAAAAAGGGTTGTTGAGTTTCTTTTACAGTATTTAAGCACAGCCTTGGAGTCGCAACCAGAACTGTTGGTTCATCTTCCAAAAATTTTCCAAATAACGCAGGGCAGCCATGTGTTCACCTCGACGGCAGATGCTCCATTTTTCTCCAGAGGCACCCAGCCTTCATCTTTGCAGATGCCACAGATGCCGTTGGTATCGGTGAGTGCTGCTTCACCAAAGCTGCAGTCACAACAGATGACTCCACTCTACAGGCAAGTACCCACAGAATTTCCAGCTTAGCCGGTGTTGCCTTTATGAAAGACAACCAAGGACCTGGTTCAGATGGCAGCACGGCGGCCTGGTCTCGTCCAAGCCACTCGGGCTAATCAACACACGCAGATACCAATATGGCAGACGGTTGAAAAGCCTTTATTATCCTATTTCGTGGGTTTATATAGGTTTAGGAGTCTTTGCTACGTCAGAGGGGGGTTTGGGGTCTCGGAGGATAGTGGGTAGTGGAATTTTACCAGGACAGGTGTGGCTACATTCTTCTCTGACTCCTGGGGTAGCAGATAAGCAGGGGAGAGAGAGGGGGGAAGGGGTCTGTCTTTCCGTGACATCCCGGTAATCTTCCGCTCGCCTGTCCCTATCTTACCACATCTCCCCCCTCCTTATCACATACAAAATGAGGTAGTTGTAGATAGAGGCATTGGAGTGAGGTACAGACTTGTAACTTGTTAAGGAAAGGGTGGTTTAGTAGATCAGGGTAGATTTTCTAAGGCAGGTGCTGAAGGCTTTAAAAGGTCTAGTCTTTGCTTATTTTGTAAAACTACTTCTGAAAGCGAAGAGATTGATTTCTCTAGATAGGAGATGGATTTCTCGATCTTCTGCAGGTCTTTGTCGATGGTCATTTGCAGCTGGGAGAGTCCGTGCTGCTGGGTTGAGATGGCTGAGACGCCCGTGGCGGTGCCAGCTGCTCTCAAGCCGAGCAGCATCGCGATAGTTATACCTGTGATGATTTCCCTTTTGTGGAGTCTGTTAGGTTCTTCGAGAAGATGGTATATTTTTCTGTCTGAGTGATGTAGGACCACCGTGGGATTTTCAGGTGTTGTCTGGCAGTTTGGTGGTCTGTCATCTCTTTCTGGAGCAGGGGTGTGTGTGTCACAGGGACGGTCCACAAGCATGTCCTGCAAACAGAACTTATAGCTTCTCATTAGTTTTGTTTTGAGGGTCAGGTTTGGTTGGTAGCAGTGGTGTGCAGCAGTGGCTCTTATGGTCTCACTACATGGGGGTTCTGATTGCCACAGAGGCAGCACGTTCCCTACATCCCCGGGGGCTTTCTCCCCACTTTCATAGCCAGGGCTACCCCGGGGTCCCGTATCGGGGCATCTCCTGCTGACTCTGCGGCACGGGCGCCGCTTGCGGTGGGAGGGGGCTGGGTTCGCCCGCGCTCCCCCCCCGCCCGCGCGCTCCCCCCCCCACCCGCGCGCTCCCCCCCCGCCCGCGCGCTCCCGCCGGCTCGGAGGAGCTGGTAAAGCTGTTGCCAGGCTCCGCGCCGGAAATGAAATGCCAGCGTACTTCCGGGGCCCCGCGCCGTTTTGTTCGGCCCCGGGCTCGCTCCTTCCCGCGGGGGAGGGGCCGCTCCTGCCCCCCCGCCTCGCCGCGCCTCCCGCGGGGGGTGGTTTTTGCCTTATATGGTGGCGGCTTCTGGCGCGGCCGCTGATTGGCTCTGTGCCCCGAGCCGCTCTCCGCCCCTTTCTCCCGCGCGCGCGCGTTTCTGAGATCGCGCGGTGTCCGAGTTTTCGCGCCGGGACCGCCCGGGTTCCGCCCCCCTCCGCGGCATTCGGCGCCATTTTCAAAGCGACCGCATGGCCGGGCGGCCGGGGACTCCCCCCGAGCCGCGGCCCCTGCGACTCCGGTCTCTCCCG